TAAGTTGTCATAACCAACTGTTATGTGAATCCTACAGAAATCTCATTTGATACTCAATTAGGTACCTACTGTGTTTAAGATTTACTAATTTGTTAAGCATATTATCATATCGAAACCATGTAGGTAGCATATCGGAAGCATGATCAGATAGTGCCAATAATAAAAAGTCTATTTTTTAATTATCTAGTAGATATATTAACTACGTGACGGTATTTTTGATCACAATTTTAATTAAATTTTTGGATGTTCAGAAAAAAGTACATATTACCAAATAACACCTTTGTTGATGAAACGAATTTAGTGTATTTTATTGTTAATCAATTTAAACTATGATGATATAAATTTAACAACATAAATATAAATATTTACAGTAAAAATGTAAAACTGTCACATCCGTGTCATGCAGTGTCACAGCCGTGTTTACGTAGGCTATTTTGTTTCCTTTCCGAGGGCTTTAAGGTTGTCCATATACATCAAAAGTATGCTTTTGGTTTATACTTTCGATACACATCGCAAAAAGTTTAAAAAAAAAAACTTTAATTAAAAAAAAAAATTGGCACAAATTTAAGAATGGCCCTTAAACATTGAATCATCTTTCGACACGTAGTCTGCCATAGAAAAGATATTTGTTTTGGGACTGATATTTAATTTTCACCAATTCTCGAATAACTCTTAAATTAAGAATTATGTAGGTATGGAAATATGTCAAAATTATTTTGTTCTTGAGATAAAAGTTAATAAATAAAATAAATAATAAATAAATATCCTTAGACATTTTACACTGCGCTTCTAGTCCCAAACTAAGCAAAGCTTGTACATAATACTAAGTATTAAACATACATACTTAAATACTTTTTTTTTTTATAAATACATCTTACTATACATAGAAAACACCCAGTCCAATACAAACAAATATGTTCATGCACACAAATGTTCAAGTACTGTGCGGGAATCGAACCCGCTACCTCCGGAATAGTAGTCCGTTTCGAACCACTACACCGCGTCTTTCCGTTCTATACATGGCCAGGCCAGATGAATGGCAAAAAAGATGGAATACGTCAGTCAAAGGGCGTCACTTAAATAAATTCTTCCCGAATGCCTTAACGCGATTTCTAACCATCGCCTAGATGGTTAGAAATCGACCATTGCTCGTCGCAGTTCCACACGGGGCATGGCAGCTTTAAACATAAACTTCACTAATTCAAACTAGTTCCGTCTCCTTTTTGCGAGTGTTCCACTAATGATGTCAGTCATGAGCAGTCTGCCCATCATATTATTATCTTGTGGGAGTGTGATCTTTGGAAATATGAACGTTATTTAATGCTTAATTCAATACAACATACATCTGTTTCCGCAATTTATTACACCGATCTTGTCGCGACAAGGAAAAATTTCCGTGCTTTTAAGCGATTTTGTAAAAATATTATTGGCAGGTAGTTGCTAATTGCTCATAAGATAGACCCCCATAATTGATATTTATTGTCCGTGGTGCGTAATCTTTTCTTATAGGTTTTAAACATTTGTTTGTCACCTGTCATCCGCTTTGCAATGGAGGGAAGTCGAACCTTAATTTCGAACTCCTATGTTCTTCTGAATAATTTCGTTGCGGGTCCAATTAGGTACAGTTTAACTTTCCCCCGGGACAAACTTGACCTTCATTGGTTGGGTTTTTGTGGCGGTCAAGCTGTAGATCCTGGCTACACAGGAGTTGCAGTGGTGGGAACGAGAGGTGGGAATAGTCCCGATTTTAGTTAAAACTGCTCGGCCCCATTGTATAATAAAGTGTAACCCATTGTTGTTTTTCCCGAAATTTTATCATGGAGCGTAATCCTACCTAGGTACTCCGAAACGTTTAGCAGCAACTGCAATCTTATCGGCATTTTAACAGCTTCTACAGCTTTTTCTAACTGCTCGGGAGAATAATTTTTTGTTGAACCAATCATCGACATTTATTATTCCCCAATAATCGACACTTGTCGATTACTGGTAGCTCGACTATGATTAGTTTACTTCAAATATCTTCTAAATGCGCAAAGTAATAAGAATTATATTCGGTTGTCAAATGAAAAATGTTTCAAAAAATTACTATCGACACGTGTCGATTTTTGGAAAAGTCAGTTTGTGAAAACCAGTGATCGACACCAACATTTTACTAATATCAAATTAACATTTAAAATTCGTTATAACAAAAATGGATTCTATAGTTCTTAAAGTAACCCGTGAAAAAGATAAAATTCAAATAAGTTTCAATACAGTAGTGTAATTAACAAAAAATGTACTCACTTCTTTAAGGATTTTACTAAGAAATGTTGTTATTTTCACCGGTACTCCAGCCGCAATCAGTTGTTATACCGCCATTTTCAAAATAAATTGGCGAATTTTGCTTAAGGCCGGGTAGCAGAGAAAATGGCGAAAATGAGGTTTTCATTTTTCATTTTTGAGGTAGGTACTAAACAGTAAAATTAAAGGCTAAGATTTTTATTGGGCATAGTTGAGGATATTTTCTAGGGCTATTAACGGATGGAAACACGATTTGATGAAGTTGACTCGATAGAATATATTCCCAAAGTTACCTCTATTCGTTTTCTATTTATGGTTTAATTTTTAAAATAAGCGATTTGAGATTCTAAATCTTTTACTAAACTAAAGTTCAGAAATAACTTGAGGGCTTTTAACGGATGAAATTTTTATATTGCGTCTTGTTTAGTTACTATGTTAAAAAATGTGGAAAAAATCGTCCATGACGGCTTGGACAATCACAATCTCAATCAGTCGCGCGGTCGCGGTGGCGCTTACGGAGGACGGACGCGTGTCAGTTTTTTGGCCGGGACAGTTCGCGATTTGTCAATATTTTTGACAATGATGACTTTGATGAGTCACAGTATAATAATATCAGTGTTACTGGAGAAAGCTTAAATTTTTGATAATAAAGAATTACGGTCAAAGTTAGGTGGTGCAACTCAGCCTAAAACTAAGAAAGATTGAAGAAAAAGAAACATTTCGTTTTAAACCTTAACCGTATGACAATAAAGTGCACAATGGTATTTCGTATTGCAACCTAATCCCTGATAGTCTCTTATTGGTCGTAGTAAAAATATAGTAAAATGCGTAACCAATTAGAGACGGGGTGAGCACGTGACCGGAGCGATGCGCTTACGCTAAAATTTCTACAAAGTGGTCAGGCGGAAGAGTCCCCGATAGTACCTTAGTTTTGAGTTTCCAATATTTCGGCACTGTTGCAAGCGCCATGGTCACGGAGTAACTGAAGAAATTAAAACCCGACATCGTTCAGATGTGCGTTCAAAAGACCTGAGATTAAAAAAAAATCCGTTTTGTCCGTTTTGTTTAAACAGTAAGCGAAAAAAAAGTGTCTTGAAAATGGAATACAAAATGATAAGGTATGGTATGGTAAATGATAAGTCTTTATCAATGAAGAAGCAGAAGTTCAATTTCATGTGTCCTCCATCTAGGCTAGTTTCCATCGTCACTCAAAGTTTGGCTGCGGTCTCAAAGGACAATGACCAAAAATGTATGGAGTGTGGTCCAAATGTCCACCACTAACGAGACCTATGTAGTAAAATAGTCTACTAAATACTGATTCATTATAACCAAACTGCAATCAAAAATATGCTGTCAGTAAAAAGTTATGACCGAATGAAAAGTCTGTTTTTTACCTTTTTATCCGAAAAATGTTCTTGATATCATTCTATCCATTGCACATTTTGGACTAATCTACGCATGTTAATTGTCATGTCGCATGTGGAGCGCTGTTATAGATGAATTTTATTAAATATTATACTAGCTGTGCCTACGACTTTGTACGCGTGAAAATAGTATGAATAATATTTCCCATTTTTACAACATTTGTCTTTACTGCTCTGCCCCTATTAGTTGTAGGGTGATGTTATTTATCCTAAAACCATCCTTAATAAATGGGCTATCCATAACAAAAAGAATGATTCAAATCGGACCAGTAGCGCGTAAACTACTACAATTTTTCAAACAGTCATAACTTTTTACTGACAGCTTATTTTTTTTTCGTCCCATACTGAAAGTTAATCTCTATTTAATGGACTATAAGCCAATATAGGTCTCATTAGTGGTGGACATTTGGACCACTTTTGGTCATTGTCCTTTGGGCTTAATTGAGGTATTTTTTGGGTGAGAGGCATAAGAACTAATGCCGTTTTATATCAAAAATTCATACTTAAAGGTAATCAACCAGGTACAAAGTATTTCCTTGTATGTTAGTCTGCCACTCTTTAGTAAGTCCCGAAATCCCCGCTTCGGCTCCCCTACTAACCATTCTAACCATTGTACACAGATAATATCTTACATGCAGCTTTTCATGTTACTACGTCACATTTTCAAAATCCGCGCGGAAAATCGCTCCTAGCGGAAGAGGGCACTTTGAGCTTGAATATTTCAGTCATTTTTAAAGATATCAAAAAAGTAAAAATACAGTATTCATTCTAATTTTTTGTAGTTTTTTTTGGCATCTTCAACAAAAATTGTGCGCCATGTCCATTAACTGAGTACAAAGTAGGCACAATGTTATCAAAAAATATTGGACACATTATTTTAACAAGTATAAGTTATGATGCGTTGAAGTTCCGCGTGACGTCACACCGTGCTACAGTTTTAACCACGCCTTGACGTCACGGGCCTCTTCTTTTGAATTTTGGCGCGTTTTTCTCTGTAAACTTTAATTACTTCTAAAAACTGAAAAATACGTGTTGGTTATTTAATTCGAATCTTGCTTTTTTACCTAGGAAACATCCGTTAATGAGCAACCTAATGGGTTGGTGGGAGGGGTAACAACTCAGTTCGGCCTTGTCGCTCGGTGTAGTCATTTTGTTCAATGGTCAAAATGTGGTCGCCATTCTGGTCCAGTCCAGTACGATTTCAGGTCAGCCGTATTTCATGGTGCATTAGCTCTGCCCATTAGGGCAAGTTATATCTACAACAGAACAATACCATAATAAAAGACAATATTTTACCGTGATGTACTTCCAGTCGCGATCCCTCCTCAGCGGACATTGTACGGTGTTGCCCTCGCCGTCCGCCACCACGTACTTGCCCAGGAACAAGTCGATCGAGTCCTGGAAAGAATGTCCAGTTCATTTTAGAATATAATAGAAAAAAAGTTGGATTGGTTCTTATTGACCGTCTTTTCATGTTGTCCGCTATTTGTTTAAAGTTTCGATATCCTCTAGTGGGAGAAAATTCAACTGATATTTTCCTGTGAACCTCTAGTTTCCAGGGTAACTTCAGTCCACTAGATTTATTAGGAACAACAAAGTCGCACTGTCTCTTAGCTCGTGCAGGGAGCATTAAGTCTTTTTCGGTTTAATTCCGCTGTTGCCCACTGTAGATTTTGATTTCATGGCGACATGACATGAAAACAGTTATTATTTTAGTCACCCGCTACTAAAATTTAGTAGCGGGTGAGCGAGTTGGTTGCTTTTGAGCGAGCGATACGATAAAGTCAGTTAAACAAAGCGTTTGACAGAATAATCGTACGTTATGAACTGTCAAATGATAACGATTGCTTTACACAATTCCACCTCTGGTTCGCCGCCGCCACCATAGATCGTAGGTAGTTAGGAGGGGCGTCAAGGGCAAAGACTGACTTTTCCAGTAAAAGGCGTGGCCAAAGTAATAGGCCCTAAACAAATTCAAAAAAGCTGTTAATGAATTGTTACTTAAATAATTCCTCTCTCATCTTGATTTCTTAGAGAATTATTAATTTAAATTTCATTATATTTATTATTAACTTATTTTCTTTATTAATTAACATTAAATAATTATTTCTCTATTTATAATTTATGTATTATGTATATTGTTAACTCGATTTATATGTTGTGTGCACTTGTTATTGGAGCTGCAACAAGTTATACTGTATAACCTGCTTTAAACGCTTTGTATGTTATGGTTGTATCCCTGTTTTGTGCACCAAATAAAATAAATAAATAAAATAAAATAAAAATCACCCACCTGCCGGAACCCGTCGCTGAAGTTGTTCTTGTAATATCTGGTCAGCGAGTTGACGCCGTCCCGCAACAGTCCGAGATGCGTCCGCTTGCCGGTGCGAGTGAAGTCCGTCTTGAGCGCGCCCGTGCCAGAATACTGGACGGAAATCATGTCGGCATGGTCGGCCCACACCTGGAATACAAATTAATTTGTATTATAGTCTGGTCTGTGAGCACGTAGAATTTTGTCCAATGACTCCAAGCTACCCATCCTTATCGCTCGCGCGTAATTATGTTGCTGTCGCGATCGCACACTCACTGCGGGACGAGACAGTGGCGGCGTAGCATGGTTTAGCACCCGGGGCGATCCCCCTTCCACCTTCGGCCTGAAGGTGGAAATCAAGAAGGTGGAATCACTTACCGTCAGGTGAGATACAGGCCAAGAGCTTTCTCATTGTGGATAAAAGAAAAGTGCTACACTCGCCTCGTGTGTTGCCAGTGATGGTATACGGATCTGAGACGTGGTCGCTCACTATGGGCCTCATAAGAAGGCTCAAGGTCACCCAAAGAGCGATGGAGCGTGCTATGCTCGGAGTTTCCCTGCGTGATCGAATCAGAAATGAGGAGATCCGTAGGAGAACCAGAGTGACTGAAACAGCCTGCAGAATCGCTAAAATCAAGTGGCAGTGGGCGGGGCACATAGCTCGAAGAGCTGATGGCCGCTGGGGCAGGAAAGTTTTTGAGTGGCGACCACGAGCCGGAAGACGTAGCGTGGGCAGGCCTCCCACTAGGTGGGCCGACGATCTGGTGAAGGTCTCGGGAGGTGCCTGGATGCGAGCGGCGCAGGACCGGTCTTTGTGGAGATCCTTGGGGGAGGCCTTTGTCCAGCAGTGGACGTCTTTCGACTGAAACGAACGGATAAAAAAAGGTGCTAAAGCCCGGTCTGTGAGCACGTAGAATTTTGTCCAATGACCCCAAGCTACCCATCCTTATCGCTCGCGCGTAATTATGTTGCTGTCGCGCTCGCACACTCACTGCGGGCGCGCGTCGCACAGTCGCGACAGCAATATAATTACGCGCGAGCGATAAGCTTGGGGTCATTGGACAAAATTCCACGTGCTCACAGACCGGGCTTTACACTCGCCTCATTGAACAGCTGGTCGAGCGCGGGGTGCGGCTCGTCTCCGCTGACTGCTAGCAGACGCAGCGCAGCCGTCAGCTGCAGGCGCGCCAGCAGCGACTGCACCACGTTGGTCCGGTCTAGGCAGTCGACGCAGTTGGTGCGGAACACGCCGGTCTGACGTAGTAGCACGGAGCCGCCGCGGGAGAGGAAGTAGCCGAATTCAGTCTGAGGATATAAAGATTTTATTATTATCATTCATATCAATAGGTCATCTAATCGAATCGATTTTTTTTGTATAATATTTGGACAATAATTAGAAGTATTTTCCCCAACAGCCAGACACTTTTGACAGTTCCAACTCCTTGCCAGAGAGTTTTTTTAGGGTAGCTCCCAAAGCCACGCGGACAAACTTTCAGCTTTTATAAAATGACGTATGTCTGGCGTTCACTAGCTCTTAGTCTATAATCTTATGTACGCCAGAGGGGATGCTGTGGGAGTCAGGAGGATGCTATGGAATGTAGGAGGATGCATGCAGTCGATGAGCACGGCAATGGTAGCGCATCCTTCGATACACGGCATGGAAGTCGAATGGCTCGTAGCGCATGCCGATGGCATTCAGTGGGATGCAAGGAGGATGCAGGGGGAAACAAACCTACTCGTGCGGGATGCGATCAATGAGCACGTAAAGGCTATGGTAGCGCACCCTTCGGTATTCGGCGTGGGCTCGTAAGATACACCTGGAGGATACAGGAGGATGCAAGGGGATGCGGGAGAATGCAGGGGGATGCAAGAGGATACCAACCTGCTCGTGAGCAATCCGGTCGATGAGAACATGCAGCCAGTGGTAGCGCATCCTTCTGCACTATGCGTGGAAGTCGAAGGGCTCGTAGGATACGCCTGGGGGATGCTTTGGAATACAAGAGGATGCTGACCTGCTCATGATGCTATGAAATGCAGGGATTCTGAGGGATGCAAGAGGATGCAGGAGGATGCAAGGGGAATGATGACATGCTCGTGATGCTATGAAATGCAGTGATTCTGAGGGATGCAAGAGGATGCAAGAGGATGCAGAAGGATGCAAAAGGATGTATGCCTGCTCGTGCGCAATCCGGTCGATGAGCACATGCAGCCGGTGGTAGCGCATCCCTCTGCATTCAGCGTAGAAGTCGAAGGGCTCGTAGGATACGCCTGGGGGATGCTTTGGGATGCAGATCTGCTCATGATGCTATGAAATGCAGTGACTCTGAGGGATGCAAAAGGATGCAGGAGGATGCAAAAGGATGTATACCTGTTCGTGAGCAATCCGGTCGATGAGCACATGCAGCCGATGGTAGCGCATCCCTCTGCACTCGGCGTGGAAGTCAAAAGGTTCGTAGGATACGCCTGGGGATGCCGTGATTCTGAGGGATGCAAAAGGATGTATACCTGTTCGTGCGCAATCCGGTCGATGAGCACATGCAGCCGGTGGTAGCGCATCCCTCTGCACTCTGCGTGGAAGTCAAAAGGCTCGTAGCGGACGCCTGGTAGCGCTGCCGCCGCCACGGCCGCGCGGTAGCCTCGCTCTAATGCCTCTTCTTTGCCGCACTGGTCGATCTGTGGAAGGAAAAGTCGGTTTGTGCAATGTATTCATAAAAAAATATGGTTACATAATATGGTTGACATAAGTTTATATGGACTGAAAATTGTTGAGAAGAACTTTTTAGACATTATACCAAAATTATTGACTTTCAAACCTATGTAGGAACCTTCCAGGAGCTCACCAAAAATATCAGCATTACTTCAGCTTGATCCAGAAGCGAACTATAAGCCACAATAGTCATCCAGCTCAAGAAACTCCTGCCCTTTACAACTACAGTAGAACCCTCCAGCACTAACCACGTGGACTAGCACGCGCGGGAAGAGCCTGGATGCAGGCAGCGCAGGACCGTGCATTGTGGAGAACCTTGGAGGAGGCCTTTGTCCAGCAGTGGACGTCATTTGGCTGAAACGAACGAACGAACTCACCAGGTTGAGCAGAACCTAAAGCAGGAGAGTCTAATCTTCTAAGAACTCACCAAATGCAACAGCACTACTTCAGGTTGATTCTGTAAGAACCATCTGACAGCTCAAGAAACTCCTGACCATCACAACTCCAGTTGTAGGTACAGACGATGGCACGTCAACGTAACCACTGTGGGTTCTTGTTGAGTTGTAATAGGGGCGAGTTTGCAACAAAAATGGGTAGCCTTATGTGCTGTCGTGTGTACCATCTTATCCAGAACTCACCAGGTTGAGCAGCACCTGGCCGCCGTAGCGCGTCTGCTGTTCTCGCAGGTGCTTGGTGTAGGTAGACCATGAGTTGTCACAACAGTAGTCCAGCTCAAGTAACTCTTGCCCTCTAAGCAATCTGCTGTGCAAGCTGAAGTGGCAATGGGCAGGGCACATAGTACGCAGAACTGACGGCCGATCGGGCAGCAAGGTTCTGGAATGGAGGCCGCGTACCGGAAAACGCAAAGTGAGACGTCCACCTACAAGGTGGACTGACGACATCGTAAAGGTATAGTCTGGTCTGTGAGCACGTAGAATTTTGTAGAATGACCCCAAGCTACCCATCCTTATCGCTCGCGCGTAATTATGACGCTATCGCGCTCGCACACTCACTGCGGGTGCCAGTCGCACAGTCGCGACAGCAATATAATTACGCGCGAGCGATAAGGATGGGTAGCTAGGGGTCATTGAACAAAATTCTACGTGCTCACAGACCGGGCTTTAGCAGGGAAGCGCTGGACGCAGGCCGCTACCAATCGACCAACGTGGAAAGCATTGGGGGAGGCCTATGTTCAGCAGTGGACGTCATTTGGCTGAAACGAACGAACGAACGAACGAACTCACCAGGTTGAGCAGAACCTGTCCGCCGTAGCGCGTCTGCTGCTCGCAGGTGCTTGGTGTAGGTAGACCATGAGCCGTCACAACAGTAATCCAGCTCAAGTGACTTCGCAAGGAGGGTCTAATCTTCTTGGAACTCACCAAATGCAACAACACTACTTCAGGTTGATTCTGTAAGAACCATCTGACAGCTCAAGAAACTCCTGACCATCACAACTCCAGTAAAGCCCGGTCTGTGAGCACTCAGATACGTCCGCGAGTGATAAGGATGGGTAGCTTGGGTTCATTGGACAAAATCCTACGTGCTCACGGACCAGACTATAGTATGTACCATCTTATCGACCTTATCGACCTAAGGCGACCACGGGCTGGAAGACGTAGCGTGGGCAGGCCTCCTACTAGGTGGACCGACGATCTGGTGAAGGTCGCGGGAAGAGCCTGGACCGTGCATTGTGGAAAACCTTGGAGGAGGCCTTTGTCCAGCAGTGGACGTCATTTGGCTGAAACGAACGAACGAACGAACGAACTCACCAGGTTGAGCAGAACCTAAAGCAGGAGAGTCTAATCTTCTAAGAACTCACCAAATGCAACAGCACTACTTCAGGTTGATTCTGTAAGAACCATCTGACAGCTCAAGAAACTCCTGACCATCACAACTCCAGTAGTATGTACCATCTTATCCAGCTGTAGGGAACCTACTATTTTTTTTTTTATGCATAACAAGGCAGGTATTTGACCACAATCGCACCTGATGTTAAGTGGGATGCAGTCTAGGATGGTACATATCTGCCCTGTAAGTGCTTATTCACTCTCGCCTTGAAGAGGCCCGGATTATAGTTTTCGGGAAAGACAGCAGCAGGCAACGAATTCCAGTCCTTAGCTGTTCGCATTATAAAAGAATCATCGAAACGCTTAGTGCGAGCTGGTGGAATGTCAACAATATAGGGATGGTACGCTAACCTGCGTCTGGTTCCCCGATGATGGAAGGGGGCTGGTGGAATTATTACATTCTCTGTACCTTTCTTCTTCCTGACTTTCTACTTCACGTGCTGTGTTACTCCTTCTATCTTGTGTCGTCAAATAAACTCTTATAACCGTGATTTGAGACTTTATTTATCGCAGTTAACCTATCATAGACTTACACAATACAAATAGCGATACACAAACGCTATACAGCACTCACCAGGTTGAGGAGAACCTGTCCGCCGTAGCGCGTTTGCTGTTCTCGAAGGTGCTTGGTGTATGCAGCCACGTGGTCCTCGTGTGCCAACGCCACCAGCGGCTTGTACTTGAGGTTGGGGTGCTGCGACCAGAACAGCGGGATGGAGCCACGCGTTTGGATGAAGGAAGCCTTCTCCCCGCCACGCTCGATTATCTGCTCGGTTTCTACGAAGTTTGCTACGTTGCCCTGGTGAAAGAAGTAATAATATGGATGTTTGCCTCTGTTTGCTTTGGTCTTTTATTTCGACTTCATCTACTTTTGTTCAATGATATAAACATTAATAAATACGTAGCAGAAGATCTGTAATAGGTACTATATTCTGCATAACGACTCGCGGTAGACAATGGAATAGAAATGAGACGCGTGCGTATCATGCTATATCTGCAATTATTTTCCTCTCGTCATATTTAAGATGACTCAGATTATATGTATGATGTATCGATATTCCAGTAATTTGCGAATGCGCGTGCGCAACTCTATTACAAAAATGATTTATGATCCCGTTTGCCGCGAGTCTACGTCGAGTATACTCGCGTAACTATAGTACGGGACTATACCCAACTCTCGTTCCCTCCGCTGCAACTCCTGTGTAGCCAGGATCTACAGCTTGACCGCCAATAAAAACCCAACCAGTGAAGGTCAAGTTTGTCCGGGGGAAAGTTAAAATTTCAAATGCCTAAAGTTCTTCTGATTAATCTCGTTGCGGGTCCAATGACAGTCTAACTTTCCCCGAGACAAACTTGACCCTCACTGGTTGGGTTTTACTGGCGGTCAAGCTGTAGATCCTGGCTACACAGGAGTTGCAGCGGTGGGAACGAGAGGTGGGAATAGTCCCATAACTGGGATATACAGTTTCCCACCTGGGCATCGACCCCTCGCATGAAGAACCTGGTCCCGGCGCGCTGCACGCTGCGCCGCGACACCAGCGACCAGCTCAGCTGGTGCCCGTTCACCGCCACGTGGTTTATTGATACGACTGGGTAGAGCTCAGGAAAGATATATCGATTACTATCGATGTTATAAATGCAAAATATCTGATAGTGTTCAGGCGCGTGCCTGTGCGGTTTCTAATAGCAAAACAACGATCTCGTGAAAGTGTTTGTGTCGACACATAGGCGCGTCCATAGATTTTTATTCTTGTATAATGTAGGTACTTCACTTGCCATCCAACTCTCACACTGTAAAAGCATCTCTGAATAGATTTACTCTAATTTCATCAAAACCTAGTTTTATTGCTGCTACCATACTGTGTCTAAACACAATACAGATAGTTTGTTACTTTTTTACCTACGTGACTAATCCCACCCCTCTTTCCCATCATTGCAAATGTTGTATGAATAAAAACTACAGTTTGGTTTTTTGGTAGACTGAATATAACCCAATAAGTGACAAAAATTTTAAACTATCCACTATTTTGTTCTGGTGTGGAATAGAACCAGTCAACCAGTCTTCCAGTGAATGTCGTAAGCGACAAATATTATGCGAATATAAGGCATCCTCAATACACATATTATAAGTGTACACATTCGAAGGTGTGCCATGTGAAAATTAGGTCTCCCTCCCCCCCAACCTGTCTGACCACCTGACCACCTGGGGAGCGTGTGCCAAATCCCCCTTTTGCATAGATTAAATTAGAGTGTCATGCTTTTGCAGTGGAAGGAGACCAAATAACTTGATAAAGACACATTCTAACTATGTAGGTAATAATCTTTTTCAAAAAGGATACAGCCTTGTATGAGCGGCAGCGCGAACCTCGCAAACTGCTCGTGCGAGTAGTCTCTCAGTAAGTGTCCGTTCCATAGGAAACGCTGGTCGGCGCGGCTCGCTAGCGACATCTGTGGACAAGTTGAGTTATAACTAGTGCGATACGAAGAACCGATGACAGGGTATAAGAGAGGCCTATGCCCAGCAGTGGATTGCTCAAGCAGAAGCTTGAATAACTTCAATTTCAAGTTTTCAAATAAATTTATTTTTAAATAAAATAAAATAGCAGCGTTTTACCTGAAATAAAACGCATATTAAAATACTTACCTCACTGGAAGCTTTATATTGAGATAGCATTTCCGTTTCCTGTCGAATTTCTATGAATTTCCGTAGTCAATATCCGGTCCAGTGGCGACACCTGGTGGATGGGCGCTCACTTTTTGTTATCTTTGGTTGAGCGCGCCATAATTTCCTCATTGGCTCAATTTCACCAGGCAGGAATTAAAGTGAAAGCTTCCAGTGAGGTAAGTATTTTAATATGCGTTTTATTTCAGGTAAAACGCTGCTATTAAATTACTTGACCGTCACTGGAAGCTTTATATTGAGACCTGTTTGTTATCGCCTGGTGATCGCCACTGATTTATTACAACAATAAATAAATTGTGTACCTACGCCAATGTGACTATGATTAGGGTAAAATAATAACACAGCGTTTTTTAAAAAAGAAAACATTTTTTAATCAATGTCATAATATTTTGATACAATACAATTATAGTGTTTAAATAAATAAACCTTTTTACTCCACTAATTTGTTTTATTACCTTATTATTATGTATAATAAGTACATTTATATTAAATACTCTAATCGATAGGATCAAATAATCGAGTAATATTTTTTGTATTAATATTTTTAATTACCTCACGTTTATAAAACTGTTTAAAGGTATTAGCTGATCGCCAATTTCCACGGGTCAAAATTTCGTCAAGTGGGTGATTCTCTAACCAGCTTTTAGAAGCTACAGCAGACCGGACACTTCCTGGTGTAGCTGTAATTTCGGCTTCTTTGAACAGGGATTTTACCCAGCCTGCTATTATTGTGCGCGAAGCGGGTTTAGCCTGACCTCTCAGTGTAACAAAAAGATTGAATGTTTTGGCAGTATCACGTCTTTCGTGTAACAATGTTATAGTCTTATTTAACCAAAATACTGGATCAAGCCTACGATTATTTTTATTAGAAAGAAGTTTCCAACCTGATTGTCTATAATTAGTACAGTCGGTTTTCGATCCGAATAGAGGCCAGAAGGTGATACTTTCGTCAGATCTGATGCAATGGTTAGGATCAATTTGAAGTAAAGTCAAATCGTGTATGCGACGACCTGAGCAAAGCAGTAGTAATATTGCGGCATGACGCGATATTTGGAAAGTATTATTTTCATTCAAATTATAGATTTTTAAGAAATTGATTAATTCATCGACATTCCAAATTGGTGGTTTAGCACATTTTGGTTTGACAAGAGCAATAGACTTTAATATATGTTTCACAAGAACATGTGAGCTTAAATGACTCGACTTTTCAGCATCACATAATGTGGAAACTACAGATTTGTGCAAAAGAATAGTATTATAAGATAAATTATAAACCAAATATAAATCTGACAAAAATTGCGCCAACTGAGAACCTGTGGGATTTTTCGGGTCAATCTTTTTGTTTTTGGACCAATTAAGCCAACGTTTCCAAGCCACTTCGTAGGTTTTTAAAGTAGATTTACGCCACGAATTTCTTAGTAATAGTAATTGGTCGTTGTTCCATGTTTTTGTGGCCTCGCTCCACCCCCACATTTCCAAACTTCGAGGACGATGTTCTCGACTTGTGGTGGTGGGAGACCCGTTGTCGTGTCCACTAGATATTTCTGCAGGTGTTTCAGGGTTAGTGGTGGTGCAAGTGCTCTGGTTTTCAGGTCTGCGCGCCAGAAAACCTTCTCCCACCGTGGAACTACCATTAGAAATATTCCTGTCGACTGATTCAAGTGCATCAGGACTTTGGGGATCAGGAATGGAGGTGGAAATACCCAAGCCAGAGGGTAGTGCCATAGATTGCTGAAGGCGTCGTGAAACAGGGCTTGAGGGTCTTTCAGGTCTCGGGACACATAATTGTGGACTACATGAGCCGTGGCTGACGCGAACAGGTCTATCATTGGAATCCCCCATTTGGAAAACACTCTTTCCAAGCAACCTGGGAGAAGATGCCACTCCGGTGGTTGTCGGTGACGTGACAGATGGTCTGCATGGCTGTTGTATTTGCCTGGGATATGATGTATATCGAAGTGTACTTGGTGTTTGTCTAATAAATTCAAAATTTTGTACGTTATTTCTAATAGTGCCACTGATTTCGTCCCGCCTTCCCTCCGTAGATGGGCTACTGCTGTTCTGTTGTCGCATTGAATGAGGATCGACGTGCAACTTAGTGAATGAATTTGACTCTGAAGTGCATATAATATGGCCAGCATCTCTTTTTGATTGGAATGGAGTATTAGTTCCTCTTGAGACCAATTTCCTGACAGGGCCACATTGTTTATCTGTGCTCCCCAAGCTAGATTCGATGCATCTGTGGCCAAAAACGTCGTTGGTGGAGGGTAATGCAGCGGTGTTGACGAGTGACAATTCTGAATCCACCAGGTTAACTCGTGTAAGGTACTTTCTGGTAGTTGATACTTGATCGATGGAAGATCTGGTAATGAGTTCATGAACATTAGAAGTTGACGATAGTGGAGTCGACCCCTTGGAATTACAAAGCTTGCAAAATTTAGTAATCCTATTAGGCTTTGTAGTTCTTTTAGAGACACCTCTCTTTGAGAGAGAATCTGATTCGATTTTTTGATTATGTTGGTGGTCTTTGTCTCTGGCAAGGATTTTAGATTGTCCCAGGTTTGCCACACAATTCCTAGATAAGTTATATTCTGTTGGGGACAAAGTACAGATTTCTCGAAGTTTACTTGCCATCCCAGATTTTGTAATGTTTGTACCACAAGTTTTACATGAGTGCGTAATGTATTTGCATTTTGATGTACTATTAGGAAGTCGTCTAAATAAACTACAATTCTTATATTCCAGCGGTCTCTTAGTACTTGGGCAATCCAATTGGTCAAAATGGAAAAGGTTTTGGGAGCTGTGCTTAAGCCGAATGGGAGACACGTCATTTCTAACAATTCTTGGTTGTATATGATGCGTAGGAACCGCCTGTGAGCGTTGGCTATTTTCAGATGGAAGTAAGCTTGAGATAAATCGACTTTGCACATCCAGTCCCTTGGCTGAAGAAGATTTGGAATGCGGTACATGTTTATCAACCGGAATGGTTCGGTTATCACATATTGATTTAGAGCTTTGAGATTGAAAATTGGCCGAGCAGATCCGTCTGGTTTCGGTACAAGGAAGAGAGGAGAAACAAAACTTGGTGTGCGATGCACTACTTTTAAAATGCCCTGTGTTTTCATTTTGTTTATGATGTCCGACATTTCTACTGACACAGGTGTTTCGAATGGACTTTTCGTCATACTTGGATAAACAAGCGGAGGCTTTTGAAGGAATGGTATGCGATACCCTTGAATTAATTTCAGAATTATTTTTGGTGCTCCCATTTTTATCCAATGTAACTGGTATTTGACTAACTGACCTGCTCGGAAATGGTTCAAGTCATTGTTTATATTTCTTTTGATTTCCTCTTGATGTGGCATTATTCGAGCGTCCTCCTCGATAATTTCCACGATAGGGCCGCGAGCCTCGGTTGTGAAACGTATTTTTGTTAGTAACATTGTGGTGTTCACATGGTACATTAGATGTGTGACCTCTACAGGTACTTAAATGTTGATAGCCACCCCGCGAGGGTGGGTTATTGCAAGTGTTCATGTTTGAGGGTAAGCCGTGAGAAGGCATATCATGATACACGCATTGAGTTCCACGCGATGGAACTGTTGAACTTCGTGTGCCTTGCCCCCGCGAGGGGCGGCTACTGTTATTTTGATAAGATCTTGATTGTACAGACCCTTCAGCTTTAGGTGGCCAAAAAACTTTACGGACCCCACCAGCTTTATCGAGACACGCCGTGAAAGGCTCACAATCAAATATGTGGGTTTGTGATGGCGGTATTCTATTTAATGAAGCTTTTACAAACGGATCGCGAACTTGTTTTGTAATGCTTTCACGACGCATCTCGATACTTTCAGCTCTGTGTCCACAGACCAATTGCAAAAGATCTGATGAAGTTTTGTGAAATTCGCCCTTAAGGAATAGTTCTTCTACTTTATCACTCAAGTTGTTACAATTAACTTCAGTATTTTTAGCCCAAAAAAGAAGGTTACGAATGCCCTCCTGTAATGATTGTTTTTGTTTTAGAATGCAATATGTGATTGCTGCATAGGACTTGTCAGCATTAGCAAGATATCGTAAATTATCATATGATTTTACCTCATCATTCGCCTCCAGGTCTACAAAGCCCGGGCTATGATTATATAATTTCTGAGTGTCAGCATACCTTACATCTGACCAATTAGGACTACCAAAGCGTTGAACATCGTTTAACATTTTTAAAAAATCATCAGATGTCTTTGGAACTGAAGGCTCCTTTAACTTGGTTTCGATCTCAAAAGTAAAATCTAAATTTGGAATATCCTGAATAGGAGTCTGATTTTCAGTATAATTTTGTTCATAAAGTTCATTACTAACTCCAGAAATAATTGATATATTGTCGTGCTGATCATTATGACAGCGGGCATCGACATTTGAATCAAAAACATGTTTACGAAGTTCACTTATTTCCTGAACTAATTTATCAATTGTGCGGCTGGAATGCCGAGTGCGCTTACTTTTCTTGTGCCGGCGATGCCGCTTGCGTTTGCTGCCCACAGAGGACGAGCTGGAGGAGCTGTCACTGCTGTCGCTGCTTGACGAGCTGCTCCGGTTGCGGCTGCTCCGAACCCGCTTACGAGCTTCGCCACTTGGCCCAGCCACAGCTTGTGGCTCGGTAGACGGCACAGTAGTATGATCCATCACTCTACACAAATAATTTTGTATTACTATATTTGCTTAAAATTTTTCACATCTGTTTACATCTACCCACAAAAATAAAAATTATCAAAACTACGGAAGCATGTAATTAAAAGTTGATCGTTTATTTCACAGTATGTAGGTACTGTATAAATAGATCAAACCTCATTAATTTCACGAACGGCAAAAACCGTTAAAAATGTAGAAATAAAGATTTTTCACTTACTTGTAAGTGTTGCTGTTTGTGCACTTTTATAATTTTTATCACTTTTTCGATATAATTTTCACAACGACTGCGGGGACTGATCGTTGTTTTAAGCACAAGTTACTTCGACGGGAATCAAAACGCCAATGAGGAAATTATGGCGCGCTCAACCAAAGATAACAAAAAGTGAGCGCCCACCACCAGGTGTCGCCACTGGACCGGATATTGACTACGGAAATTCATAGAAATTCGACAGGAAACGGAAATGCTATCTCAATATAAAGCTTCCAGTGACGGTCAAGTAATTTAATATCTTAATTTCATAATAATACGAAGACAGTCGTACAGTACTTTAGTACATTTTCATCTCACAGTATTACAAAATTAACGTTCAAAATGTAAATAAATACATATTTGTTGAATTTGTTACTTAATAGAAACATTGTATGATAAAAATATTGTATCAAATTATGAGGTGATTGAATATTAAGAGTAGGCGCACACCATTGATTTTTCGTCGGCCGATAGTTTAGTCGGGTAGTTGATCAGTATGGGCATGTATGGGAGTGCGCACACTACGTCGATTCGATTTGGCCGATTCTTCATACAAATTAAAATCGGACACAACTATCGGCCAACTAAAAATCAACGGTGTGCGCCTACTCTAAGTAAACATAGTAAATTGTGGCGGACAAATTACTATTACTTAACCCTTTGTCAGGTAATTTCCGATTCTGAAATTCATTTTCGAAAGTATGCTATTTTTCACAGATTTTCCTATCAGAATACAATTCAAAGATTTTTTATCAGTTAAGCGCGTCGGAACAGAAAGCGTAAAAAATATAAATCCATATTATTTTACTAGTATGGCATGTCAGCATGACTGTGTCGCATTAGGGCGGCGCTAAAGGCAAAAAGCCTCGCGGGCACACGCATGCGGAATTATTTCCAAAAATGCATGCGTGTGACGTGTTTAAACACGCGCGGGCGGGATTTCCATTTTTCCATGCATTAATAGGTCACCCGCTCCGTGCACCTGTGCGAGTTTTAGCGGAGGCCGTAAATAATAAATAAATAGCCTTGGACATTTTACACAACGCTTCTAGTCCCAAACTAAGCAAAGCTTGTACTATGGGTACTAGAAAACGGTTATAAATATACTTAAATACTTTTTTTTTGTAAATACATACATATTATACATATTGACACTCAGACCCATCACAGAAATTAAAATTCAACATTTCAATTTCTGCCTGGCCGGGAATCGAACGCGGGACCTCTCGGCATAGTAGTCCGTTTCCGTACCTCTACACCAAATGGCCGACGATGTATAGGCCGACGAATGAGGGTTTTTGACATGACATTGACAGATATGTCAAAATCCACCAATCACGCAGCATTTGGACCTCGCGCCTACGTATTGCCATCTGGCGGATTTTTCAATCGCGAAAACCCTCATTGTAAATGTATTTTTAACCAGCCCTGACCTTGTGGAAGTCGTTTGCAACGGAGTGCAGTCGCTGCAGCGAGTGTGTGAGGTCGTGTCCGTACGAGAAGTACATGCCGGGAGTAGCCAATTGCGCTTGAACCATGCGCACGTATGTGTTGTTATCCTCGATCTGGAAAGAAAAATGATCATCATCATTTTGGCTATAGGACGTCCACTGCTGAACATAGGCCTCCATCACTGATTTTCAGACTATCCGGATGACTTGGTAAACTCTGGTCCCTGAGCACGTAGAATTTTTTCCAATGATCCCAAGCTACCTATCCTTATCGCTCGCGTGTAATTATATTGCTGTTGCGCTAGCACACTCACTGCTGCCGCCCGTCGCACAGTCGCGACAACAATGTAATTACGCGCGAGCGATAAGGATAGGTTAGCTTGGGGTCAATGGACAAAATTCTACGTGCTCGGGGACCAGACCTTACCAGTCATAATTTTAGTACCAAATAACAGGGAGAAATAAGTGAACAATATTCATTTATGGAGTTAATTTTTTTTTAAATTAAATGTTAGTGAATAAATTACACGAGTACAAATATTTCCGTTCCGTCCGTCCGTTTTTTTTTAATACAAAATACAATAATACAAAAATACCAAAAGGCCTTTTTTAACGAGAACTTAAAAATATGTATAGAAAAAAAAAATGTTTTTGCATATAATTTATATGAAAAATACCTATTACTACTGCATATGTATAAGAAAAAACGCCAACTTAAAAATATTTTGAAATAATTTATATTTAGTTGATGATGATGAAAATTTCATTTTTGCATGATAAAAACCAAAGAATATATTAGTTCAGAAGCTAATAAACAATAAAATGTTTCGACGAATTTAATTCATGTCAATTTATGGGTTAACTAAACAAAAATAGACACAAAATAAACATGAACCATCTACAATCAAAGTATACTACGAGTACTTAGTTATGAACTTCACCAACAGATGGCGCTGTGTGTCGTTTGACTCGCGATTCCATTTGATTTTTTCCCGATCAATATATCTTGGCGGAAACGTTCAAGAAGTCGATCTTTCCAAAGGTTAAATGGGGGATGATGATCGGATTGGACACGCGACTGCGTGACGTCCGCCGCCGACTGTTACGCTTGGGCGGGCCAAAATCCTACTGACTCCATTTACTTCGAAAGATCCGTTTTTTTCAATATTTTTTAACAAAAAAATAAAACAAAAACATTATTATTTGTTAAAAGCTACTTATTTGCCAATGCTAATTTATGGGTTAAATCGAAGAAACGGTAAAAAATGTAATAAGACCGTTGAATGAAGCGGCTTAACGAAAATTTTATGAAGCAGTTTTTTTTAACATTCAAGCAGTATGTATTCCATTTCAATTTGTTAATTATTCACGAAAAATAGTGATAGGAAATAGGGTCAAGCCCCATTCTTCTCGCAATTTGGCATCTTAGATTTTTTGAACAAAAAATGTGATATTCTACTATGATAAACCAAAATCACGAGGGTGAAGCCATGATGTAGCTCACCTGTTTATTTGTAAGATGCGTGGTAGTTCTTGCGAACGGTATGACATCTGAACCGGCCAGCTGGTATATATCGTGTCCATTGAGTCTGCCAACCTGGAAATAATTATACAATAGTTTTATTTAAGTAAGTATTACTTGTTTATTATTACTATTTAATAAAATTATTATAGCAAATGAATGATACATCCTATCTTACATAACAAACATTAATTTGTATTAAAATTCTATGTGTTAGATAAATGACACTAATAATTATTATTGACTATTGATAAGAGATTTTTTGCCTGTGTTGATCAATTCTGTGATGGACGCCTACTAGATAAGTCTTATCTTTTCTATAAGGTTATTGAAACTCCTTTGATTACTTAATGTCTTTAGCTGATCTTTGGCCAACAATAAGTAACGAATAACTATTGATGTTTCAATAATAATTATCATCTTATTTGCATAGTACACAACTACATTACTGTACAGCAAATCATACACAGTAGCAAAATAATTATTACAACTACACCAAGATGCCACAGTGTTTATATCGATTTTTTTTGTCTGTACATTGTAAACCCTTTAATTGGTATGCAGAAAAATATCATTAGATTTGGACCTTATAGTATTATCTCACTAAAATTCAAAATATGGTGGCACTAATTCTGTCATCTCCAGTAGGCCTACAATGCGCGCCGTGATAAGCTTTTATCGCGCCATTTTACGCGATAAACCCATACGTTTGTCGCCTAAATCATCAATAAGATTTTATCACGGCGCGCATCCTAGCCCGACAGGTAAAGGTTTAATCATGCGCGTATAATTTATAGAGGAGGAGCCGGGTGGCCTGTGCCCACCCCAGAAAATCTTAGTAAGAGTAAAACATACTTTATGACATTAATTTGATTACTTACCAGTATTCTGTACTTTGCTACCACAAGATACAGGCCAGATATCAGCTTGATGGTGCCAAGGAAGCCGCAAACTGGTTTGTAAGCGCTCACTGGAATCGGAATTTTGACTGTCCCATATTCTGGAATTGAGAAAAAGACAATTTAGAGTATTGTATTAAAATATTGAAAGATTAATAAGTTACTTTATTGTGGTGTCCATAATAAGAGCATCTAAATAAAACATCAGGATTTCTTTAATTAATTTAATCAATTCTTACTTGTGAAAAAAAATGTGGGTAAAAATTAAAATGACAAACATGAAAAAAGCACTAACACCTTAACCATTACACCAGTGAAATAAATCTAATAATCTTAAGAAATAAATCTAGATAAGGGTGTGTCTGCCCAGCAATATCCCAGTAGTTATCACACAATATACTTTCACATTAAATAAAATGTTGACCTTTACTTAAGATTAGCTTTAAAAGGCAGACAAAACATAATAATGTGATACTGACTTATTATGACTCACACAAGCTGATAATTTATTTATTGCCTTCTGTTATCAGATTACCTATTGTTCTTTAGTTGGAATACAGACAGCATCTAAACTGCTGTGATCATCATATTTTTGGGAAAACTATTTCTTTAGATGATAATGTTGTGGTGAATTGATTCATAATAAAAAATGGAATTACTATTTTTTTTATTTTTTTTTTATCCACAACGAGGAAGATCTTGGCCTGTATCTCACCTGATGGTAAGTGACGATCAGGCCGAAGGTGGAAGCACGTTTCACCCGGAATCCTCAACCACAGAAGAACTGGCTTTCTTATCTCTAACTGCCGGAACACAACAATGCTGTTAACATTGTTGTTATGGTGACAGACTTAGGTAAGATGGTGTTAGCTAGCCAGGCGGACTTAGAACAAGCATCACCAAACCGAACATTTCTACCACTTCTAAGCATGAATGTCTCCAAAGATCATGATCTCCATGCTACTCTGTTTCGAGTTATTTGTGGTAATAATGGTGCTGCTATATCCCCTTATCTTTTATTAGAGTGATGGTATACCAACCTTTGACAGAAGCCTCCCCTGTCACTCTGTCTATGACCAAAATCTCTGTAGGGTTGATGTGAGGCTCCAGGTAGAATTTGTCTGAAGTTGTGTATCTGTAATTTAATAAGTTAAAAAGCTTGTTTACATAATATACATATTTTTATTATTTTATTTTGCTGTAAATATTTTTTTGCTTTTAACTGGTGGTAGGAGATATATGCTACCATATTTTGAACTTTAGTGACATAACTTAGGGTTCAAACCAATGAAAAATATTTTTCTTTATACCAGTTAAAGGGTTAACATTGAAATAAGTTTTGAGTAAGTATATTACTAATGGTGGATGGTGGATTATTACCACCTGATACAGAATTGGTTATTTTAATTAAATAGTGGTCCTTTACTTTTAGTACCTAAGTAATCTCTTAATAACAAAGAAAGAAGGAAAAAATAATAAGGTATTATTGGAATGCAAATTATTCAATGTAATGCCAGAAATACATGAGCTAAATTTACATTTACATATCGCTTATAGTGTGTTACATGTAGGTAACATAATTTTAATGAACCAACCTATTTGTAACAATGTTTACCTCTATCTCATTACAGATTTTTAGATATAAGAAATGGATTTAATTATTCAAATTTCAAGGTAATGCATTAATATGTTCAATAAGAAACACTTCAGCGAGGTAACTACTGTGTAGTATGGTTAAATAAACATCAAAGGCAGGGGTGTACCAGATTTTACTGAACTTTGATGAATTCTTAAGCTTATATTCTGACAAACTAATATATGTTGACAATAATCACCTATTCTTTAAAGTCGATCAAAGAGAACTTGCAAAAATTGTAAGGTTTCGGATAAAACATGACCCGAAACCAGGAGGGGTTGAAAATACTTTATTCAAGCAATACACAGTCATTTGATGACTTAACAAAGTAATAACTACATAGAAATATTACTTACAGTTTAATATCATCGTGAATTAACAGCCGATCTGCCATTGTATACGATTATCCACAAAATTAATTGAATTTTACTCCCATACACTTGCAGAAAGATTATTACGAAAATTGTCAAATTTTGACGGAATGACACGACAATAGTGATGTACTAAGTTGTTAAGGTTACGTGATTTTCACCTAGTATTTGGTAGTGATTTTTCGAATTGAATTTGGCAATCGATTAATAAGCATTCAATAACCTACCTGAAACCCAAAACGGAATTAAAAAAAAAAATATCTTAAAAAATCTATATGTCAAATACATGTGTATTTGAAGGATAACCTCAAAACGCTGCATGTTATTTAATTTTGTTAAAAATAAATGTTATTTTATTACACGTTAATGTTTTAGAGTAACTATGGAAGTTGAAGGACATCCAGGTCTTATTAAGACCATTGCTGATGATGAAGAAGTGGATAATTTTTCAGAAGAATCGGATGAAGAAATCGAGGTAATTTTAAATTGTATTTTTGGCATTTTCATGTAATTCTAGACCGTTAATCTTGTAATATGTTGTTTTATTTGCAAATTTAATTACATTTTTTGCCCATAAACACTTTGTATTACATAAATTGCAATTTTATTTCAGTACCAACCATCAAAACAAAAAGTGAAAAGGAAAGTCGATTTCGATCCAAAATTTCAGTTTGTTGGATCCCTAGAAGAATATAACAAGGTAAGAGTTTCAACATTTTAATCGTTAATCTTTCGTTTTAGTCAAGTGTCGTCCACTGCTGGACAAAGGCCTCACCCAAGAATTCTCACAACCACCGGTCCTGCGCCGCCCGCATCCAGGCACCTCCCGCGACCTTCACCAGATCGTCGGTCCACCTAGTGGGGGGCCAGCCCACACTACGTCTTCCAGCCCGTTTCACGGCTTTGAGCACAAAAAAGTTGTCCATTTGGGGCTGTTTACACTTATCTCTCTAGGCTCTACCATTGTTCATTACCTATCTAATATTTACTCATATACTTACAGAATACATGGGACGACTTGCACAAGTATGTCAAGAGGAATGTGAAGCACACGATTGATGAGAAGATTGAGAGGCGGAGAGCGCAAGTCAAGGTGAACGGCAATGCTGATGCTGTTGACACGGACTCTGATATTGATGCTAAAGGTAGTTATGGGCAAATTATCCTTGCTTTTGAGTAACAACTAAAAACCATATTTTTTCATGTTCTCATTTATTTTGTCAAATTCCTATCCTACTATATTGAGTAAAATTATTTCTTTTCCCTTACACAAAACGTCGAGAGATTTCAATCTGTTTTGTATTATGCACATCCCACATATCCTTAACATAACCTGTGCTAATTTCTTTAAGCTTTACTCAACTGCTTTCTGTGTGTAGTTGTCTATCTATCACATTTTACATATTTATTTTTACAGAGGGCGATGTAGACGAACTAGAAATATCTGACGATGAACTCAAAAGGGACGAAATCAAAATAAAAGAGAAGAAACTTACAAAGAAGCAAAAGTTAAAACAGGAATTGGAAGAAGACGCTGAAGGCGGTACCCGGATAGAATACGACTCGGATTTCTTCGAAGAACCACCGCCTTACGATGATAATGCTTCGTTCTATATGATGAACTTATCCAGGCCACTGTTGAAAGCTATCGGGACACTCAATTTCGTCCACCCTACGCCTATACAAGCTGCTACCATACCTATTGCTCTGTTAGGTAAGTGGACGTTGTTATTCAGTAAAAATATATTTGTTTATTTTTGTTAATTACAGAGCTTTAAATTGTGACTTTTTGTACTAATTTTAAATCTAAAAATAACTTCTAACTAGTACTAAACCATCTGATACGAACCATAAAGAGCAAATTTTTTTAGAGAGATGCGAATACGCGGCGTTATAAAGATATCTAGCAGTAGCTAATGTGCCTACTCTGTTTAACAGACAAATGCAGTTGAAGTATAGTATTATTAAGGTTACTATAGCATGGCGACAGAATTTACTTTTCCATCATTTCATACTAGTTTTTCATTATTTCAATGCAACTTACCTAACATTGATACTTTTTGGTATTTCGGCCATCCCTACAGCCAATATTTTTTAATTTCCCCAGGCAAAGACATATGCGCGTGTGCAGCCACTGGCACGGGCAAGACGGCGGCGTACATGCTGCCTATCCTGGAACGCCTGCTGTACAAGGCGGCCGGTGGCGACCGCGTCACTAGAGTATTAGTACTAGTTCCCACTAGGGAGCTGGGAGCACAGGTAATGAATAATCTATACTAATATTATAAATGCGTAAGTATCTCTGTCTGTCTGTCTGTCTCGCTTTGACCAAAACCACTGAACCGATTTTGATGAAAGGATAGAGATAGTTTGAGTCCCGGGAAAGGACATAGGATAGTTTTTATCCCGGTTTTTGAAACAGGGACGCGCGTGATAAAGTTTTTCTGTGACAGACAAAATTCCACTCGGGCGAGGCCGCGGGCGGAAAGCTAGTAATAAGTAATAACAAATGCCAAAAATATAACAATTGCTAAAAATAGTAAAAACTTACCACAAAGTCGAGTACCACCATGAAATATCCACATAATATCATGATTATTAATTATATTGTTTTTAATTTTTCTATTTTATGCATAGTTCTTTGCGTTGTGTCTAGACCTATATAGCGTTAGTAATAAAAAAAATACATAACTTTTACCAGAAAGTAAGTAAATATTAGTAGTATATTTTTTTAAAGTAACAGTATGTTTTGTTTTCCAGGTTCACGCAGTGACACGACAACTCGCGCAGTTCACACAAGTAACGGTGGGGCTCTCTGTCGGTGGACTCGACGTCAAATATCAGGTAGCAAGTCAGATAATAAACAGAAGTTAGGTTACTATTTTGATGTGGTAAGAGTCGAGTAAAGGTTGTCTCAGTGAATAAATTGTTAAAGCCCGGTCCGTGAGCACGTAGAATTTTGTCCAATGACTGACGCGACTGTACGACGGGCGCCCGCAGTGAGTGTGCGAGCGCGACAGCAACATAATTACGCGCGAGCGTTAAGGATGGGTAGCTTGGGGTCATTGGACAAAATTCTACGTGCTCGCAGACCGGACTATAACATTGCGGCATCTTATGTAGTAGTGATAGATGCTATTTTGCCACAAAAATGTACAACCTAATGTGCTGTCGTATACATAGGCTGCTATATTTGTTCTCAGGAAAGCGTACTGCGAAGGAACCCAGACATAGTGATAGCGACGCCGGGGCGGCTCATAGACCATATCCGGAACACGCCTTCCTTCAGTCTCCACTCCATTGAAGTACTGGTTCTGGATGAGGCTGACAGGTATACTTATTGGCATTTTATTCTTTATTTTAAGCTTATGTCGGTCACAGACTTGTGTCGAGATATGTCCACATACAGAGTGTTCCAAAATTAGCACGTCACGCTTACACCGGAGGTAGGCCTCCAACAAGTTTTTTGGGGCAGCCTGTATGTTTCTGCAAAAGATTTTAATCTTTGCTTAAACGACTTCTAATAAACGTTTTGCAAATATTTTTAGAACAACTACAAATATAGCGAATGTAAAGGATGACAGTACCGATAATGTGTCGCAGCCGAGTGTGTCAAGATTAGATTAATAGTAAAGCTATTGCAACTTTTGACTGGGTGCTTAAAAACTGTTAAAATTATTGTCTGTCTGTTAATTTTGATATTAAACTTAATTGTTTTTAAGCAAATACATCTTATTCCCCAGAATGCTAGACGAATACTTCGCCGAGCAAATGAAAGAGATCATCCGTCAGTGCTCACCCAAGCGCCAGAGTCTTCTATTCTCTGCCACCATGAGTGAAGAGGTGCAGGCCCTCGCTGCCGTATCATTGAAGAAGCCTGTCAAGTTATTCGTGGATTCCAATAAAGATGTCGCATTTAACTTGCGACAGGAGTTCGTGAGGTAAGGGAAAAGGACCTTATACTCAGGTAGATAGGTTTAGTATTGAGTGACGTAACTTCTTTAGTCAGAGTTCAAGCTCATTCTGCGCGTTGACGTTAAGGAAATCATTGGCAGAGGCTTCTATTCAGCAGTGATGAGCAGTGACCGTCTTTTAGTTGAGACGAGAAGTGTTTAAAAGACAATTTGTTGAGTTTATTTTATGTATTGCCGCAAAATCCGGGCATCGTGCCCTCAATAGCCCAACTGTGTTAATATAGGACTGCTAATTTTAAGGTTAAAAAAAAAATTGTTCGGTATTCTGTCTGAACCCATAAAGAGCGCGAGTCAGGTGAAGCCAGCGGTGATAATGTTTAAAAGCCAACTTACTAACATTTCTATTTACCACAGAATGCGCAAAGAGCCCGAGTCGGAAAGAGCCAAATGGAATCTTTAAAAGCCAACTTGCTAGCATTTCCGTCTATTTACCGCAGAATCCGCAAAGAGCGCGAGTCGGACCGCGAGGCGCTGCTAGCGGCACTAGTGTGCCGCACGTTCCGCGACCGCGCCGTCGTATTCGTGCAGACCAAGAAGCAGGCGCATCGGCTGCACGTGGCGCTGGGACTGCTGGGAGTCAAGGTATACTTATAACTTAGCTTATCTATGAAGCACAAAGTGGTTACAATTTTTATTGTTTTTCGCATTTAGTAAATAAACTTGCTCGCTCTGTAAAGCCTTGTTCGCACTAGTTATACTCGGCGCAAAGACTCGTGGCAGGTGGTGTAATAATAAAACAGTGCATATCGCGTTTTCTACCGCACTCACACTGGTTATGGATTACGGCATACAAAGGCAGGCATAGCGTTGTTTATAATACGTAATAATTAATTAAATTATATTGTTAAGTGTGCATCTCTGTTTTAAAAATTACTTATGGCACTGCCTGCCACGACGAGTCTGTGCGTCGAGTATAGTCGAGTGGTGAGTAATTTAGTAGCTAAATGTTCTGAAGAACACCTTATATTTAATGGAGTAGGTTACTAAATCCTTTCCATTTTGTTCTATTTTGATAGGCGGTTAACACCCCTCACCACGCGTGCTCCTCGTGCATCCTGCTCACTCCCTCGTCTGCTAAACGAGCCCTTATAAAAACCACAAAAAAATTGTAAAATGTACTTTACCAAAGTGCCGCAAGTATTG